ACTTTGTGACCACTTTGCGCTGTCATTTCAATTAGCCATTGCTTTTCAACTTGTCCAAAGCACGTCCACTTGGCGTTTACTGTTTCTGCATACCCTGCAGTGTTTAGCAACATTGTCTTGCTCTGCTCCATTATTTCTTTCCTTTCAATCCAAGTTTTTCTTTAGTAAACGGTCTAGTCCAGGTTTTGGCCAGCTGCACTTAGGGTGTCTGCTAGTCGAGCACTCGCAACGGCTTGGATTTGCTTTGAGTTTCGCACTCGCTGTCGTTGTCGCTTTCAGTGTGTGTGTGGGCAGCGTCGAGCTGCCAAACAATGAAATATAATTTGTATAATTTAAGTAAATGCGCAAGTCATTAGCATTTCGGTCCGCGTTTCTTCTGTGGGCATTCTGCAGCCGTGTTTAATGAAGCTCATTAATCACGCCAACCAATTGCAATTCGAAGTCGGTCGAAGTTATGAATAAACTACTGTCAACTCGGCTGACGAACTCACAACTGCTTCGATGGCTGCGTTCAGCTGAATAACTAATTGACAGACTGACAAACTGACTGACTGACTGACTGGCTGATTGACTGTCGGCTAACTGGGCTTGTTATGCAAATTGTCTGTTTTTGCCACCTCCACGGCTCGCGCGGCGTATGATTAATATTTATTTGCAAGCGAAGTTTTCCGCTCTTGCAAAAGGCGTGCAGAGGAATAGAGTCGCGGCAGCTGCACTTAACCATAATTAAGTGCAATCTCTGCGTATACGTAATCTGCGTGCGCGCATTGCCCAAGCAAACCGAACGAAATATGTAAAGCAGCCTGTGGTCAACTGTGTGTGAGTGTGTGTGTGTGTGTCGGGGCTGTTGGCCAGCCAACAAGAAACAAGTCAAGCTAACTCTTTACACATGTACCGAGATGGCCTCTTAGTCAAGGGCAACGCAGCTGCCCACAGAGCCCAGCGCAAATCGTGTCATCAAGTGAGCAGAACGGGCTGAACTGCCACAGCTCAGCTGGGCTGAGCCCAGTTTAGTTCGAGCAGCAGACTGGGCGTATGCGTGATGCCAGCTCCGGCTGTTGGGTTGTTTGCTTATGGCAGTTGCAATGTTTTTGTGGCGCTCTCTCATGGACAGCAACCTGTTGAGTAGTGCTTGAGCTCATTGAATACGGGATTTAAGGGCAAAACGGTTTTGTGTCAACGTCTGCAGCAGACAGAAGGAGGCGTGGCGGAAACCCTTAAGAATATATATCATTGAGCAAGACGGCAAGGGGAGACGCCGTCCGGCAGTCTGGGAAAATATAAGTAACAAGCAGACGGAGGCGTGGCAGAACCCATAACGTATGTGCATGTACCTTTTGATTGTGGCAAAGAGCTGAGTCGATATAACCGTCTCCGCCCGACTGTCCGTCCGTGTATTTCACTGTCCACAAACACTGGAGACTGAACCTTTTCAAAATAAATTCCCTCATGCGCTATATAAGCTGATGATTAATTTATTATTATTTGTATTTTCCTATCGATTAGTTTTTTACTATCGATAAAAATCGATCAATTAGTTTCGTTTTTTTTTCAAGCATAAAATCTACAGGTTAATGTTTTACTACATATTTCTGTGTGAATATTTCATGAATGAATGAATACAGGCTTGAATGCCTCACATTGATGCCTTGGCCCTTGCCCAAATATTTGCAAATAAACCCATTTGAAATACTAGAACTTTGTTCCTTATTAAATACACACGTCTATGCCAACTCTGCCTCAATTGCCAAGAATTTTAATCAAAAAGAAGAATGAAAAGCTTTTGAAACGAAATTTGTTTCACCATAAATTTCCCATAATAAAACTCATAAGCCATGGACCATGGATATTATGTCATATCAGCTCTTCTCAGGACTCTACTCACTAGGGCGCTCTTGTTATGTTTTATTCAAATATACTGAAAGAGAGTTCGAATGTGTATGAATTTCCCTTGAGATATGCCAGCAAATATTCCTTATCAGCATGCATATATCTATGTATATATTCATATATAGAAAGAAGTCTTGGGAAGGAGTTATTCGATATTAATTACGAGCTCAAGCTCAGCAATGAGTTCTAGAACTTTAGCTTGGCTTATGTTAATCAAAATGTATATACGAGTTCCGAGGAGGCATTCGAGTACACACACACACTTACGCACTAATACTTACATACATACATAACCTAGGCGCAATCAAATTAAGTTCTAGCCCCAATCAATTGAATGCCTTTCGGCGAGATGCCAAACTTTGGCGCATTATGAAGTCCAGAAATAACAGCATTAGTGCTAATAGGGGATATGCGTTCGTCTGTAGGGTTCCTAAGAGTTCAGCCAGGGGCCAAGGCACATATACGCCCCATTTGGCAGAGGGTGCAGGGTATAGCTAAACGCGTTGGGCTGCACATAAAAGTTACACAAACTCAATTTTGTAAGAGCGAGTTGTGTGTGTGTGCGTGTGTGTGTATATATGGGGCAGTAAGTATGAGTAAGTCTGTCAGCGGCAGCTACTGTTTGCTCCACACATACACACACACACACACACACACACACACACACATGTTTGGGATGCCTTGAAAATGGCAAATATTTGTCTGTCGATATTTTTTCTTTCTTTTTGCTGGCTGCCCACGCAGTCGGCGGCCATTTTCTTGCGCAAGTGTCTATCTAGCTGCGATTGCTATTGATGTAACATTAGAGCCGGCCACGCCCCTTGAACGGGTTAAGGACTGTGTCCGCAACAACAGCAGCAGCAGCAGCAGCAGCGCTAAGAATTATCACTTTTGCCGCATGATTAATTACGACCACGTGAATTGGCAGCAATCTGAGCGGCAATTGTTATGTCCCCATCGCAATGTCTCTTGTCTCTTGTCTCTGCCGTATTGTCTATCACGGATAGTGTTTGCTTTTCTTTTCTTCATAATTTGTTTTTGTGTTTTTGTTTTCGGCTTGATAAATGCTCGCTCAGTCACTGGCCGCAAGGCAAATGCAAAAATCTGCTAATGCTGTGCGTGGGCGTTGTTGCTGCTGCTGTTGTTGTTGTTGTTGCTGCTGTTAACTCGTTGGCAGTTGCTGGTTGCTGGTTGCTGGTTGCTACCGCCTGTGGCCATGGCCACTTCAAAAGCAAACCCACACAGCCAGCCGGCGGCGCTAACGAGTTACGGCCGAAGCGACGACAGTTCTTGTGCTTGGCCAGAACTTTGATTTGAATGCCCTGTGGACGTAGGCGAGAAGTGTATGTCTGGCGTTCGATACACGCGCGCACCTCTGATCATATTTGACTTTTGCTAAGAACAGGGTATCTGGCAGTTGGGCTGCAGCTCGCATTGCCGCCACGTCGGCGTCGACTTTGATGCTGTGCCCCTGAGGGCAGCCCACGCATGCCATTGCACATGGCCAAATGTTACTGACTGTCATTTGCTGCGTATTAGCGCGCGCCCGGAGCCAGCCACTTGGCTTAATCCAGCTGGCGCTCAAGTGCCGCCTTTTAATTGGCAATCGTTGCAGGCATTAGCGATGTCGTCATCCAGCAATCACTCAGCCAAATCCGTACTCACACACTGTCTCTCTCTCTCTCTCCCACTCTCTTGCAGATGAAAACAAACTAAACTCCAGCTCATGGGAGGATACATTGACAGAGCCCCAAGAACAGCATCCACAGTCACAGTCGCAGTTGCAGTTGCCGTTGCAGTCACACTCGGAGTCACTGTCGGTGGCACAAGCTCAGCCACAGGCACAGCATCAGACATCGTCGTTCATCACAGCGCCAGGTCAGGGGGCCGGCAGCCAGAAGGCGAGCTTGACCACAGCTCAATTGCAGAGCGCGTTTAGCCGGCGCATTGCGGAGCAGCAGCAGCAGCGGGCAAAGGGCGGCCAGATCAGCCAGCAGGCAGACAGCGCCACAATTGCCGGCGGAAGCTTCAGCGCCAACGGTGGCCAGGCTGCCGTTGGTGTTGGTGTCGTTGGTGTCGGTGTTGGTAGCAGCGCGAGCAGCAGCAGCGAGCGGGACACCAAGTCGCCGGGACGCGAGCGACGCGAGCCGCCCACAGCGAGCCACTCCGACGAGGAGAACTTTACCGAGGAGGAGCAGACCAGCAGCAGCGTGAGTTCATTAAGCGCCGGCAACCAACGCAATTCGCAATTGCGTTCCACCTTCAACAAGGCCAAGCAGCATTTGTCGTTTGACAAATGGCGCACGGCTGCCTCGGCGAGCTCCTCTAGCGCCACTCCGAACCCACTCAGCGGCCAGCCGCAGTGCAGCCAGAGCGCCAGCCAGAACAGCAGCCGCGACAGCAACATGATTATCCGAAGGGCCAGCGCCTGCACGATGCCCACCGGCTCGGGGGCGGCAGGCGGGGTGTCCCAGCGCGAGGATAATACGGCGCCCGGCGAATCGCCGGGCGGACGGCTGTCGCGCTGGTTCTCCATACGGCGCGGCTCCTCACACCAGTACGATGTGGGCGGGCGCGATGGACGCCAGCTGACCGGATCCAGCTTCGACATGCCGGATGCCTCGGCCTCAGCTCCTGCCGCACCGAAGCCGACGACAGCGAACGCGACGCTGGACGCCGCCTCGCCACAGAAGCTGGCCAATTTGGGCGCCAGCAAGATGATGCCGGGCGTGCCCGAGGTAAGTCAACGCCCCCGACCCCGACCCCCAGGATAGACCACACTTCCACTTTACTAACGGCCATTTGCTCTTGCAGTACGAGGACGACGAGAACTTGGCGCCGGAGAACAATCGCTTCGACATGGACCTGATGATACCGCCGGGCAGCCGGGCCAACGGCACCGCCCGCACCACCCACAGCCGAATCATAGTGCCAATGCTGCCGCCGGCCCCGCCCGGCCTCTCCCAGCAGCAGCTCAAGCGACGCCACATCGTGGCCGCCATCGTGCACAGCGAGAACTCCTACGTGGCCACGCTGCAACGTCTAGTCAATGTGAGTACGAGAACCAAGAAGCAGACGCAAAGAAAGCATAACGAGAGCATGCGTACGGTGGTGTTGAGTACGAGCAGGAAACTCTTGTACCCAGAACACTAAATTTATCAATTAGAACCAGCACAATTGTAGTTCAGGATTGGGGCCATCGATACAGGTTTGGTTAGCGTTACGTGGAGCTGCTTTGCGATAAGGTTGTGGTTAGTGTGTTGTGTTCTCTTCTCCTGCGTGTGTTGTTGTTGTTGTTGTTTTTGTTGTTGTAGTTGTAGCTACAATGAAATGTGGGACATTGACTTCGACCCTAGGACGGAGCTGGGGGCGAATTTGACGTTGGCATTTCGTTGGCCGTTATCATCGTAATCATCGCCCTCCTCCTCACAGTCCTTATAGTCATCCTCATCGGCATTCTCATTGCCATCGTCGTCATCTTTAACGTCCTCCTCATCGTGTGTGTCGGCGTCATCCTCATGTGGCTCGCCAACATGCAGTGTTAGCTTGAAATTGAGGCTTAGCTGCGGCACGACAAATCGGCATACCTCATATTCGCTGAGTATACCCGTATCAGCGTCGTCCGATTCCTGTGGCATTGCTGGCTGTGTATTATCTGTCAGTGTCGTTTGCGACGCATCCTTGACGTCAGCGTCCAGGTCGGTAATGGTCGTTGTGGAGTCGCTGGCAACGAGGGGCAGCTCCGGTGCCTGCTCGCAGGCATCGGCTGGCAGGTCGGATTGCAGGTCGGATTGCAGCAGCACGTCAATCTCGAGGGGCGTTAGTATATAAAACTCGCCGGTCACTTCATCGCGCTGGATGCAGCCGAGCAGCGGCTCGTCCTCCTGCTTCACCATATTGATCTCCTCCATGCTCTCATTTGTCCAGCTGTCAGTTAGTCTTGCATCTTCATTCTCGTTGTATGTGACGCTCTCTGGATTACCGTCGGGGTATTCGGGCAGCCGAAAGCTGTAGAGACCAGGCGCGTTCAGCTTGACGTAGCCTGTGTTTGTGTCGGATCGCAGGTACAGCTGCACCTTGCCGAATGTCTCGGCCACCAATGCTACCTCATCCTCGTCCAGTTCCGGAATCGCGTCCTCCGCGCGAGCACCACGCTGCAATTTACTGTCTATTGTCTTTGTCATCTTGTATGCCGAAATTGGATTAGGTCTCATATAGTTGGACATGTATAATAATAAATTGAATAATCGGATATTTTCTACGCTTTCTCAATTTCTTTATAATAAATAAATAAATGTTAAATTTGAGACTGTATTCCAGGTGTGTCGTTCATACTTATGTCAGTCAAGTGTCAAGACTGCCTGGATTTGTTCCTTATTATCAACTTTGTTTGTCGCATACCAATGCACTGCATTTTCGCTCCACTCAAGAGCTGAACATGATTTTGTGTCACATTTGCTCATCAGTCCGTTGGGATTCAGTTTTTAATCGATTAACAGAATAATTCGTAAGCGCTGCTAATAACAGTGGAGCTGAAATGGTTAACATGGACAGAACATTTTCTGTTTCCGATTTTATTATTTAACATATGTAGTGTGTTCCGGGGTAATAAAATAATTAAAATGATTACTGATTTTTTCGGTATGATTTCTATAGTAAGGTTACCTCAATAGAGGTCTCAGCTTCGGCGATTTTCTTCTCTAACTTGCCCTCCTGTGGGTATTCTCATGAGGTTGGTGAACAGGAAAATTGTGTTGTGAGCCGGATCTAGAGAATACGATGTGGAACCAATTCCAAGCTCAACTCAAGGATTTCTGTCAACATTTTCAATTGGTTTGCATAGTCGTAATGAGTTCTATATTTTTCTTCAGTTCTTCGTCATTTGCATTCCAAAATGCCGTCAACACACTCATCATATTAGATGGAACATGTAGAGTATTTGATATTCGGTTAACCGAATATATTTTCAGTTCTTTTCCGTGTACCCCTCCGTAGATTAGTTTTAGCCTGTGGCCTTGGCCTTTAATATCCGCCGACTTATGTTAATGTTAACTCTCATGACAACTCATTTGTTTTCTTCTTTACATGCCATCCAATTCCCACCGTCATATGCCGCCACTCTCCGTCATAACTAACACCAATTCTAATACTCACACATACACGCACACATGCACTCACTCACACGTCTTTGTAAATTGTATCTGTAACTCATTTAATACTCACAACACTCACATCAATCATTTAACCATCTCAAACCACCTTAACATAAAAAGTAGTTACAAAATAATTAGTTGAACACCCATTAAAAAGTACCAAAAATAAAAAATAAAATACCCAGCATTTCGAACGGCAGAGAGAGAGAGAGAGAGAGAGAGAGAGAGAGATAAAGAGAGACAGAGTGATCTTTCAACTTTGGTAAAGCATCGACATCTGTAGCAGGAGGAATGCAACTATCAAATGGCTTGCTAATATTTCAACCGATTCTCTCTTTTCGCTTTGCTCGACAGGATTACAAGAAGCCGCTGGAGGAGTGCAGTCCGCCGGTGCTGAATCCGGTCAAGATCGCAACGCTGTTCCACTGCTTGCCGGACATTCTGCACTCGCACAAGCTGTTCCGCATCTCGTTGGCTGAGTGTGTGCGCAACTGGGATCGCGACGAGAAGATCGGCGATTGCTTCGTCAGTGCATTCGGCAAGCCGCAGCTGCTGGAGATTTACTCGGGCTTTATCAACAACTTTTCGGCTGCCATGGAGCTGGCCAAAATGGAGGAGAAGCGCAAGTCGGCGCTGGCCGACTTCTTCAAGGTCAAGCAGATCAGCGCCCACGATCGCCTATCCTTCTTCGGGCTGATGGTGAAGCCCGTGCAGCGCTTTCCCCAGTTCATACTGTTTCTGCAGGACCTACTCAAGTACACGCCGCAGGGCCATCACGATCGCATGTCCCTGCAGCTGGCGCTCTCCCAGCTGGAGCTGCTCGCCGAGCTGCTGAACGAGAGCAAGCGCGTGGCGGAGCAGTACCAGGCCTTCAAGGAGATGCTCGGCCACATTAGCGGCACGTTCAACACGCGCTCCCTCAACAGCGTCAGCGACAGCTGCGGCAATCGGGCGCGCTATCTGCTGCGCGAGGACAATGTCACCCACATGGAGTTCAACCAGGCCGGCTTCATTGTCAAGTGCAAGCAGCGACGCCTGCTGCTGCTCAACGACAAGGTCATCTGCGTGTCCGTGGCGCCCAAGCAGTCGCACGACTTCGGCGCCACCGAGAAGCTCACCTTCAAATGGATGTTTCCGGTCAACGATGTCGAGATCGTGGACAACAGCGCATCGGCAACACTCTCGAGAATACTAACAGCAGGTAGGTTACCATCAGTTGCCATCAATGGCCACCAGGTGAACAGCTAATAACTCCTCTCCTCTGCAGGCTTAAATCGGGGCGGCAGTCTCAAGTCGAACGGCAGCAGCGGCAACGCCAACAGCGCCGGCGGCTATGCCAATGCAACGCTTGGCGGTCACGGCCATGGCCAGGCTGGGCTGACTGGCTTGGGTTCGCCGTTTGCCGCAGTGGATGCGCACAGCTCGCCAGCCGTGCAGCTCACGAACGGAGCGGATAATCTGTGCAACGAGATGAGCACACTAATGTACGACTACGAGGTTATATCACGCATACACGACCTGGTCGGCACCCTGAAAGGCAGCTACAAGGAGCTGAACTTAAATACTACACGCAACGTGCTCAACACCATACAGGGCTCCATACAGCGCAAGGATGAGGAGATGGCCTGGGTGGACTCCTGCTGCTTGCAGCTGATTGGCCGCCACAAGTCTGGCAAGGAGGAGACCTTCACTTTCCAGACTCAGACGCCGAATGTGAAGAAGGAATGGATCACCGAACTGAGACTCGCCCAGCTAGCGCTCGATCCGAACAATTCGCCCGCCTGGGAGCGGTCAGTCTCCCAGCCCCACCATGCGCATCACCAACATCCCAATGCCTCACAGTCGCCCGGCAGTCCTCAGGCCACGCTGCACACCTACGAGCAACAGCAGCTGCAGGAAGCTGTGCAACAGAAGCAGTCGCGCAAGATGCCACTATTTGTCAAGGCGATGCCCGTCTACCGATCACAGCATCAAACGGAGGTGAGCTACAACAAACGAAAAACGCCCATGAATGTGCAGAGAGAGTAGAGTAGGGTTTCAATAAAGTTACACTAAAGTAGAGTAAAGTAGAGTAGAGTAAAGTAGAGTAGAGTAAAGTAGAGTAAAGTATAGTAGAGTAGAGTTGCAGTAGAGTAGAGTACAGTAGAGTAGAGTAAAGTAGAGTAGAGTAAAGTAGAGTAAAGTATAGTAGAGTAGAGTTGCAGTAGAGTCACAGAGTAGAGTAGAGTAAAGTTACAGTGGACTATACTAGAGTAGAATAGAGTAGAGTAGGGTTTTAATAAAGCTACAGTAGAGTAAAGTAGAGTAGAATGCAGTAGAGTAAAATAGACTAAAGTAGAGTAAAGTATAGTAGAGTAGAGTTGCAGTAGAGTCACAGAGTAGAGTAGAGTAAAGTTACAGTGGACTATACTAGAGTAGAGTAGAGTAGAGTAGAGTAGGGTTTCAATAAAGTTACAGTAAAGTAGAGTAAAGTAGAGTAGAGTAAAGTAGACTAAAGTAGAGTAAAGTAGAGTAGAGTACAGTAGAGTAGAGTAAAGTAGAGTAGAGTAGAGTTGCAATAGAGTAGAGCTACAGTAGGGTTACAATAGAGTTACAATAGAGTTGAGTTGAGTTGAGTTGAGTAGAGTTGTTTAAGCGATATTATCACATAGCTCTTCCAAAGCCAACTGAAGTTCAATCATGTTCTAATTGTTAAGAAATTGAATCCAATTGAGCATCTACAAAAATCTTATTTGCCTCCTTCCTGCAGGTGCGCTGTGGATGCTATTACAGCATCGCCAATGACACTAAGCAGAGCGGCAACGCGCGACGCCGGCACAAGCAGCTGAACTATCTCTGGATGTGCAGCAGCGATGGCACTTCGTCGCACATCACCGTGCTGGCGCAGCACCCGCAGCAGGCGGGAAATTTGCGCGAGGCGGGCTCCTTCGACTTGGTGGAGACGCAAGTGTCGGCAATGGAGTTCGTAAAGGGCCTGGACCAGTGCCGCACGCGCGAGGAGCACAGCAGCCTGCTGGGCGATCTCGTCTGGCTCGGCACGGACAGCCGCAAGCTGCTCATTTACTCAGCGCGCAATCCGGAGCAGGAGGAGCAGCTGGGTAGCTATGCGGTGCCGGGCGCCGTGCAGCGCATTCTGTACCACTTCGATGCCGTCTACGTGTCGCTCTCGAACGCGACCGTCCTGATCTACAGGCGCGCCCACGACGGCGTCTGGCAGCTGCGCGACCCACAGCATGTCTCGCTCGGCGACTCTGGCATGCCCGTGCCCAGCATGCTGCCCATCAACATGAACATCTACGCATCGTGCGGCAATAGGGTGTATGTGCTCAATGCCCTCAACGGCGAGCTGCAGCGCAGCTTCGAGGTGCAGCACGGCGCCAGCCAGCAGGTAAACCTGATGGCGCACTCGGGCATCGGCCTTTGGATATCGCTGAAGAACTCGACAATGCTCTGCCTCTACCACACGGAGACCTTCAAGCACTTGCAGGACATCAACATAGCGTCCAGCGTGCTGCGCTACGATGCCAAAAAGGAGCAGCCGCTGAACAACAGCTCCATCTATGTGACGGCTCTGATGGCCTGCAAGGGCCTGCTGTGGGTGGGCACGAATGTGGGCATCGCTGTCACCATACCGCTGCCCCGGCTGGAGGGCGTGCCCATCATCAGTGGTGGCATCAATATGTCCTGTCACGCCCACTTTGGCCCGATCACCTTCCTCCTGCCACTGATACCGAAAGTCTATCCGACCTACAAGCCAATGGCCGGCGCAACGGTGTCAGCTCCGCTGGTGCCCACTGTGCCGAGCATGGGCGAGGATCTGCAGCTGCCCGCCATCGATGCGGATCCCAAGAAGCTAACCGAAACGGACCTGGAGGAGAGCACAGTCATCTTGCGCCGTGATCTACCCAAAGAGGAGCATGGCTCTACTTCGAACTCTCAGCCTGGCACTGGCTCCGGCCCGACGACTCCTGCCGCTTCCTTGCTGCGGGAACCGAGCGTCGAGGCAGCAGCAGACTCCAATGTGGCCACGAGCAGCGTCTCGGCCGCCTCCTCGCCGCGCTGCTCCAAGCTGGACAAGCAACACTCACTGGACCAAAGCTTCACCGCCAAGATACGCGCCTCGCTCGCCAACTCGCCCGCATT